GGCAGGACAGTCTCGGACATCGTAAAAGAGGGCCTTGTGATGAAGCTTTTCAAGATGCTAAAATTTCATGCTTTTTGAGAGGACATGGAGCTGAACTGACTGCGTAGATCCCATCGACTGCTTGAACGTCTCTCCAAGGCACGCCACAGAACGGCACTCTTTTCTGATGATAAGATTTTTACCGTAAAACGGTTTTCAATCTCCACACCGGAATCATATCCTAATCGTTCTGAGAAGCCATCAGCAGGGGTTGACTTGCCAAAGGAGAGCCTCATCCGGGTTTTCTGATGGTTTGGGTGGCGATCACTTCCGGCAAGATGCCACTGATCTTAGCGCCTCAGGGCATCAAGGTGGACGCTGCTACGTAGTTGGATAGCATTCTAAAGAAGCAACTGATGCCCTAGACCAATATCCATTTTGCAGGGAAAGATTGGTGCGTCTAGTAGGTACCGCACCTGCGCACACAGCGAAAATTGTTCAAACTTGGCTCCAAAGCAACTTTAAGGTCTTCACTACTCTTGCGGAATGGCCTCCGTTTTCTCCCAATCTGAATTCCCTCAACTATAGCGTCTGGTCAGTTCTTAGGTCAAGGCCTGCGCTCAACCACGCAAGATAGTGGAGTCTCTGCGACTTGCTCTTCAGAACTTCAGAAGGCGTTGAAAGAAACAAAAGAGAAATCGACGTGAAGCACCTCCGTGCCACCATGGACAGCGTTCCCAAGCGTTTCCGAGTTTGTGCTTACGTCAGAGGAAGAATTTCTTTGGATTGTAAAGCCAGTTTTGTGTAGACAGTTAAGTAAACATTACTTGTTGGTTTCATGTAATCATCTTGCCTAGCTTCATCATTACGTTAAAAAAAAGGTTCAAAGATTTTCCCCCAACCCTGACAATACTGAACGTTTTGAGAATTGCCGAATCGGGTGCGACTAAAATCGCGTAGACTATGCCTGAGTCCTTAGCTTCACTCGCGATTTTTTTAGCATTAGTATATAGTTTTTTCACATTTGAAATGTACAAGAAGTATACCATAATTTTCATACGTAATAAGGTCAAATATACTTGCATGGGGTACGACGAGTGGTCGGGCTGCCCTCCATATTATTCAGTGCGCTTGAATGTGGTTTCAGTTCTCACCCAAAAAGAGCATCAGTAGATAGGCGATCTTATACAGCCTTTTTCAACCCGGAGTACGCAACATTCTAAGTGGAGCAGCGCGTCTACACCGCCACTGGCTCAGCGAGATAGATTAGAATAGAGAAGCAGACTGCAAAGCGGTGCGAATCGCTGCGAAGCAAACTCCCGCCAGTCCAATTTCCGCCTACAAGTCAAATTTACTGTACCACCTTCGAAAGCACTCGTTGTTACTCATTTTTGAAGTCGGACATGGTTTATTCAGCGGCGTCAAAGTGGCAGCGTGCTAACGGCGCGAAATTCGCGTATCACGCGAGCACATTTAGCGAGAAAAGGCCATTAGGGATGCCACTCGTACGCAAATTCACGCAGTTCATACGGAAGAAGTTCGCCAGACGGTTTTTTGCCTTTCGGGAAACTCTATTTGGTAGGGCTAGAAACCTTAAAACATGCGAATTGGGAACATCAAAACCCATTTCCATCGATGACAGGCTGAATCCCCCCAACTTACAAGGGAACTGTGTCGAGTCGAAGTGGCCTTTCCAGATGAGACCCATACTGCTTTAAAGATCATTAATCGGTGATTCCAAATCTGGTTTCCAAATCTGCCAAGCGCCTCTGGACGCCGAGTTATGCTCGTTTTTCAGGTCAAATTGAACGCAAAACTGAAGCAAAATCGCCCAAATTTGCTTAAATGGTCCAGTGTCAAGTATCATTTTATTCAATATGCTAATACTTAACATTGCTTTATCTGAGCGCTGGAAAGAATGTAATAATCAATTTTACCTAAATTCAGCATTCATTTTTCGTTCCGAAGAACGGTCATAACCAGGGTTGAGCGTGGGGTCAGGCTCGCCCGACCTGGGGGGTCGTACTGAGGTAAGACAGAGGGGGGGGGTGGTCGTGATTAGGAATCGAATTCGTTCGATTGGGGAGATACTACGATTAAGGTGAAGAAGAAAAGCGCTAGTTTAGTGGATATCGCGACCTCACCAGTACTGAAGGAATGAACGGTCTTAAGCAGCATACTGATTGATTCCACAATCGAAGTTTCGGCCAAAACTCAAATCTTCATCTTCTACCTTGACATATTATAAATTCATCAAGGAAGCTTGCTGTGTGAAATGGGTATCATTTCCGAGCACGTCAAATTACCTCTATGAGCCCTACAAACCATTATTTACTGCATTATCTAGTGTTTCTCAACGACTAAAAAGCGTGATTTTCAAACATGATTAACTTGTTTTCAAAAGTGAGAAAAGTCAATTTTTTTGTACTCGTAACAAAGTATTGTTCCCTACTAGTCTAGGCTAAAAATCGCGCTTTGTATCGCTTGCAAATAGTGGAGTAAGAAGTAATGCCAAAATTCCGACCGGCGCGTTTTTCGCCATGACTGCTTCAACTCCACGGATTACCACAAGGCCAAAACAAGTCGAATCAAGTCCAAACACTTACTGTGGAATCTTCGAGGGTTGTGCTAGCGATTCACATAAAACTTGAATAAAAAAGCTTCTTCAATGATAAAGTTAATCGGGTCAGGCGCAACCCCACAAAAGGTCAGGCCGCCTGAGCTTTTGAGGGGTTGCGCCTGACCCGATTAACTTGTTTTCAAAATCTAAAAATCGCTCCATTTCTGCTATGAGTATTGAACTCAAAGCCTCTTCTTGCAATACTGCAAATTTGGAGCCAAACAATACACCCCTGTGGGAATTATAGCTCTAAAAGTAGGGCTATCCAAAATCCAAAACTTGCCGTCAAGTTGCATGTGCTGTGCAATCGCAGAAAGTCGACCTACAGACCTCCAAAAAACCAGAACCTCCCAAAAACGGCTGATCTCTTCGAATTATCACAGCCTGAGGTCTTGGAGGTGAAGCAGAGGGGTCGTTTAGGAGCTTTCACTGGGGGGGGGGTGTCGTTTTGGAAAGACTTGTGCCTGACCTCTTGCTTAACCCTGGTCATAACTCGGCGTCCCGAGGTGCTTGGCAGTTTTGGAAGGCAGATTTGGAATCACCGCTTAATACCCTTTAAAGCAGTGTGGGTCTCATCTGGAAGGGCCACTTCGACTCGACACGGTTCCCTTGTTAGTTTGATACCCACTTACCGTCTCCAGAAGATGGGAGCTTGGCTGGAGAAGCGGCAGGGTCAAACTTTGATTACATCGGATAGCGTCGTAAGCCACTCTCTCCCTCGAATATGATCGAAGGATTTCTGAGATGATATTCACGCTATCGATAACTCGCTCCGTCGTCAAATAATTAGAGAACCACAACAAGAAACAGTAATTCACCCTAACCGATAATCGTGTTTTATTGTTACTCAAATTTGTGTGTCCCTACCATCTCATCAGCTTTTTCGGGATGTAATCACTAAGTTCACGAATCGATATTCTTGTTGTGTCCTTCAACGCATCACAAAGAGTGTTAGCCATGTCCTTTCAGTTGACGACCTACATAATGCGAATCAAATACACAACAATATCACAGTGAAGTGACATACAAACATTCCATTGTAGAGCATCACAATGCAGCATATCGACAAGTCATTTGTAACTCAATATGCGTACAGTCTGCTCCAATCGGGATCAGGCCCAACCGTCGGCCTAAATTTGCGCGCTCGTAGCGCTAGCGGTCTGCGCTGCATATGCGCGCTGTCGGAGAGAGCATAAGGACTGCAGAGAGAGCAGAGAAGCAGGCCGTGAGCGTGACCGCGAAAGCCTGGCGACGCGGACTCCCGCCATGCCAATTTTGGCCTGGTTGGGATTGGGGCAGACTGTACTGCACACCAGGCCCGCTATTCAACGATTGTAAGATGAGAGCCTGCTTCCCAGTAATTTCTTTTTGATTCCCTGTTGTTTGATCTGGCTGCATCAGTTAGTAGGACACATTTCCACAGTCTATCAAGTAGAAAAGATTTTACCATGGAATTAATAATAAGGGTGCCGCGTGTATGCAGACTTACAGAACTTACATATTGTGTTATCGTCTATTCGTTGACCACATGGATGTTGCGAGAGCATGACCTGTTTAGGTTGCTGCATGACAAGGGCGCAATATCTTTGGGCGCGAACGCGGCTTTATCAACCACAGAGCGTATAAGGCGCAAGATTATAACGGTGAAGAAATGGCGCGTCGCGTTCGCACCCGCTCAGTAATACTGCTTCTGAAGGATGTATGCCAAGATGAACGATAGCTGGCAATAAGCATACTGTACTCCAACGGTTGTCAATATGTCGCACATAAAGTCTTGTTTTTTGAAGCTCCATGTTCTTAACTGAATTGAAAATGGTATCGAACAGTAAAAATTAGGGCTTATAGAGCTTCCGGCGTTTTTTCCAAGTTTCTAGATATCACCATAGCGTAAACATGGAATTTGAAAAAGATTTGACCTACGCAGCGCATGCGGCTGGCACAACCTATCGTTCATGTTGGCTGCCTCCCCTTCTGAGCCTTCGTCATACAGTAGCCTTTACAATAGCGAATTTGTACTGGAGTAAGCGTTCTACCTCGCTTCGCGTGCTCCGCAGTGATGCTTAGTCCGCACGGTCAATGAATAGTCGACTGTACAAATGACTTTGGATACATGTTCAAATCAAAAGGACCTGAGCCGCATGCCTACTGAGCACAGCACAATGCGAGACTCGCAAGATTAAAAGAAACCTCTCATGTACAAGACTGCAGAAGCAAGAAACGTTCATAATCTCCACATTTTGATAGCCTTACTCACATGAAACCAGAAAATTTGTCCAGAAGCAACGATGCCTGTACTTCTCCTTCACTTTCCCTTCTAAATCAGAAGCGAAAATCAAGACAGTGATCAGCGCACCAACCATAGTAGATTAAGGTGACATCACAACACTGATAACAAAATAGATACGGGTTTTATTTTTTATTTTTTCTCAAACTCTTATAATGATGCGCGATTAAACCACAATAAAATGAGACATGAATACAATCTAGCTTTTTTTGGTCCTCCAATATGGAGTATTTTGCACGTGAATTGTTTCTACATCACCGTCCACCACTTAGGAAATCTTCATAAGACAACAAATGTACAATAGTCAAGTTACATAGCGTTAGGCCTGGCTGTCAGATATACATAATAATTTGGACAACACAACAACGAAAGGTATGAGTCTCTGTAAGAGGAGAACTTCAACGTTAATAAACATAGATACGAAACCTTGACAATGGCTGTCAGTTTCACGAGGCAGAGCTAGCTGCGCAGTAAGATTGGACGAAAGAATAGTCATTTCGCCGTGAATTCTATCATCCGTCTTGAACTTGACAGCAAATATGACGTGACTTATACGGAGTAGGTAGATAAACATATTTAACTAGAGCTTGCAACATAATGAGAAACAATAGGTGATCAATGAATGATGAATGATGAGCACGGAAAGAGAAGAAAAGAACAGACGGCTTTATGAAAACAATATCACTTTACAATAAAAAATGTAAGCATGACAATACTATACCCGGAAAAAATCCGCAGATTTTACTCATTTGTTTGGAACAGTTTCAAAAATTAGATACAAAAAACCGTCAGATCACAAAACTCCTCTCTACACGAGGACTCTACATGGAACTACTAAATGCACAAGATGCTATCAATAACCGCAAGCATAGTTGCGGTGACCGATGCAGATCATCCATCGATGACACAACAAAAGGAGTTAATGAGTAATAACCTCTATACCCACCTTTACAACAAAAAAGAAAAGCGATACTTACGCATGAAAAGATGACGATGGAGAATGCGGAATGAAAAATATTTGTACACGAGGTAATACCGCGATGGAGTCGAATTAGATGACTATATTGGCAGATATCCATTCAAGAAGCTAAAGTATTTATGTACATAGAATAATTATCTCATCTCCAAAAGAAGCAGTATTGATCATAAAACTGTCATGTATAGGTAATTTATCAAAGAAATGTGACGAGTTCATAAGCTGAGGAAAATCAAAAAAGACAGGAATAAACAGACAAATTTCTTCGTAATTTTCTTTCAAACCATCCCGATGCAACCATTCGATATTAAGAATCAAAAGAGAACATCAAAAAACTTTCAGATGTCGATGTCAACGACAAAAATGAAACTTTGTGTTCAACTGGTAAGAAAAAAATACAACTTAGGTTCACCTTTTGAGATGAGTCACATCTGTTTGGAATCAGCTTGCAACGCTGATTCCAAATATGCTGTTCCCGCCTGAGCGTCATTCTGAATCGAGTTATGAGCTTGTCATTGTGAGTAATTGACATACTTCAAATAGGATAAAGCGGGCTGCAGATGGGAATCTGCCTGATAGTGCTAAAAGGTCGAACTAGCATCAGATTTGGTCTTTCGATCTTGGAAAAGAGCGCTTTTGAAACGATCGACACCGTAGCATCAATAAGTCGAAGAACACCCATTTTGCGAGAAAAAAAAGACCGTAAGTCGATTCATAATAATGCTCAACAGCTAGGAACGGCATATTTGGAATCAGCGCTCCAAGCTGATTCAAAATGCATTGTCTCATCTCAAAAGGCGAATCTTGGTAAGCATCATTCCCTTGTAAGCAGAAATATTCAAATGCAAAGGACCCTTCAAATTTCTTGATTTGATCTTTTGTCAGTCAAGATCATTCGCAGCATAAACAAATAGCGCATTACGCCTAAACTATGTGATACATGCTGAAAATGATCTAACGAAAGCAGTACCGAATCAAAATATTCAAATAAAAAATCTCTATAGCAAGATAAAACTTGGAATGAAGCAAAAAAAACTAAAAAGTATCAAAAACCTTACCTGAATCTCCTGCGATGACGGGCAAGCTATTATCCGACTTTACATGTAATAATTTTTTGCTAGGAATATCACTATCTAAATCTGCTTCACTGGGCCTCTTCCGCGTTATCGGTGTCAAATGTTGATTCGTTTCCAGTCTAAAAACGTTTATTACTTTTGCATGTCTTCACTATTTCTATGATGAATCAACTTACTTGATTTCTTCTCCACCTACGCAGAAAACAGGTGCAACCGGCTCTTCGGGAACCTCCTTCTTTTCTTCAACTTTTATCTCGACAGTACCCGTTATTCTGCTGGTTGTCTAAAATGGCAGAATAAACAAAGCGCACTGACTAAAAAGACTAAAAAACCACCTCCGTTGTGGAGCCATTCTTCACTATAGTTTCGGAACTAGTGATAGTATTTGTCACAGTAGTAGTGTGATGATTCTCCACTGAGGCCGAGGTATTGGGAGTGGTATTCAGGTTTTCAGAGGATGCGGAGATTATGCGTGACTGAAAGTATGGGTGATAACAATTACATAAAACATTAACTGATACGTAGGTGACCGGATTTGACCGGCACGAAAGAGAGCGACTCACCAAATTCGAAGAGGATCCGGATGAGGTTCTTGCGATAGAACGCCGTACAGCATGGCGACCCCTCATGTAGTCTTCTTTTGCAATCCATCGACCCACTTCTGCTCTTCGGACGTACTGTAGATCAACCTTCAACGAAAAAAAATAGTCTTAGGTTGAAAATCTGGAAAAACTGAGCTTTACATGACTGAGATTCAAGAACATACTAGCCTAATTTGCGGCAAAATGTGAGATCTTAAGAGCGATTTGCTTGTGAAAGGCTTTTCACGGCAGTTGGAACGTAATCAAACAAGAAAAAAACTTATGTTAAATGGAAATAGTAAACAGTAATAAAATTCAATGATTCGTAAAGCTAATGAATGACGATAATGCAACCTTACAACAGTGATTTCAACGCAAGTGACTACCACTCTAAATGTGTGTGCTTATTTCCAAAGAACATTATTTTTCTCCATGAAACAGAGTTTCTTCTGCCTGTCATCCAGACGATATTCAATAGACAAAACCCAATGAAGATTTGCTTCATTGAATGGAACTGATCACCAAGAAGTTGTTTGAAGCATAACAAGTGAAAATCTGTTCACCTTCATAAACTCGTTGTACTGCCTCATCTTGATTCCTGTCGTTACAATTATATGATGGAACTGACTGATTTCCACGGTCAAATCAAATGCTTTCGCCATCGCGCGGTCGAACTCCAGACCAATAAACCACAATGTGCAAACAGGATTTCTGGAAAGGTCAAATGTGTACACTGACATTGGGAACATAACTTTCTTGTAAATAATCGCTAGTTATGGTGGATATAACGAGTAGTGTACATAAAAATCTTTCAAGCGTGATCTGTGACCGTGTACATCATCGGACTTGTGGTAAGATTCAACCTCAAGTACAGCATGACCGCATTTACAAGTAGAGGTGGATCTCACTATGCTCAGATCAATGCAACTTCGGGTAGAAAATGACCAGAAGAAAGCCTTGCTGAGATGAAGTCCTTACTTCAAATTATGATGATACGACCACAGGAGGAGATACAGGTTCTCCGACGAACTCTAACGAATGAATTTCCCCATTGTCAGAAGCAAAACGGCACAGCAGCAATTTGAACATGACAAGTTAAAGTTCATTATTCACGTGCAGCGTTAGCTGATAAAATTTAAAAACAGAAAGTTTAAGCTCTGAGAATTTCAAAGTTAAAAAAAAAAAACTTAGCGAAAACGAAACAAAAGATACCGGTGCAAAATCCAACAAAAAGCTATGGAGAACAACAATATCCACTGCATAACCATCAAGAAAATCTCAAATGTATCCAATGACAAATCTCAAAGCAGGTGACTCACTCAAATCCGGGGCCAAATTTCGGTATAGCACTTGGCAGCGGCTTGTACTGACGTGGATTTATGTGAGCGAGAGAAATGCCTTGATTCCTCTCTAATGCTCCAATGAGATGTCGAATTTTGGATTCAACGAAACCACAAAAGATCAGATGGTCTTCCTCATTCCTTGCCGCACATGTTAAGGCTGAAAAAAGGATAAGAAATTATTATTATTGCATTTACAATTATTGAGAAAAAAATATGCAGAGAGAAACTCACATATGAAATGCTTGTATCTAGTGAAGAAATTCACTTCCTCAAAAAGTTTAGACCACTCTGCCCGTCCTTCATAGATATCCTTCATTATGTCAAGCCCTTAAAACATTGTTGATATGGTAAAACTCATTTCTGTCAAGAAGTAATGACAACAAGATTGCAACACATAAGTTCCAAATCTTTTCACGTTGCCATTCAATTTTTGAAATGCGAATTTTTCTTGCCATGTAACATTCCACACCACCGCGCAGATCATAACAAACAAAGCGAATATGCAAAGCAAGAACAGACATAAAAGCCTCAAAGCAACCAAAAATAACAATATTTTTTCATGCAAAACTCATGATGTATTACTAATACTCAAAAATAAAAATATTACAAGCTTCGGGCACCTTGTGGCACTAATTTAGAGAAAGGTAACAGCAACAAAGACAGATGCAGAATGACGATTCACCCATAGAAACGCACTACCTTCTTTCATTTCATTTATCATGATGCTCCGCGTAGAATTAGTCACATTGAAGGTGGAGTTCTGCTCAGGAAATGCAGGTGTGAGTATAGGCATAAGATGGAATCTAAAATTCGATTAAAATAATCATCAAGAATGAAATTGTTGTTGTAACGGAAAAAGACATGCCGACAGATAACATAAGCAGGAAAAGCATTACCTGTCCGAGCCACGAATTCGAGGATCCCACACCAGCTCCTGCAGGTTTCCAATATCTGGACGATTGGCAGAATCCATGTCTTTCAAAACAACGGGCAGTGGCCATTCCCTAAACATATGTAAGGGTTACAAATTCCATGCGTACCGACGAAAAAACTGACCATGTAACAAAGACAAGGAAGAACTTCAAAAGGAGCTTCGAAGGTGAAGCATTGGGATATAGCTGACATGTCCTAGCTACTAAGATGGCCCAAGTCACTCCGCCAAGAAATCCTGTCAAGGAGGAATCATGCAGTTCTGGTAATATATCAGCGTATTTACTAACCTAACACATTGGAGTATATGCCGTGATTTTTTGCCCACAATTTTACTGCTCTCAAGCATAAAGCAAAAGACTCTGGATATGGTACAAGTCGAAGAATCTCATCTGCCACTCGACAACCTGAATAATCTTCCTTAATATGAAATGATTACGCAGGAAAGGTGTGGAGTAAAACACATCGTTGAATCAGATATGAGCACTCTCGACTTTAAGTGCCAAAATTGATCAATAATGGGAGCGCAGTTTTGGTTGTAACCGAATTCGAACTGAAACATTTAGAAGCTCAAGCGAAAGTGGCTTTGAATTGCAAAGAGCAACCAAAGAATTCACACAAATTTACATGAGGAAAAGGCTAAAGCAAAGCAACTGACATCCATATCTTCAAATAAACTGCAAAAAATATGGCTCTGATTACGACTGGAAAGAAACTGAAAGAAATCACCGTTTAGCGAGCGTATGCTTTTGTCGTCAAGATTCTTCAACAACATGTCATCGTTTAATGTTTGATCATCAGGTATTTCCTAAAAAAATCGTTCCATCCCTAAAGATTCTACTCGATGAAAACCGCTTACTTTCAAGGCTAATCTTGCAAACAGAATATCAAGCTCGATTCCGGCATATTTGAGCTTGATGACAGGAACGAAAGCGTCTTCTACTGCGTGCAAATCAGTGACATTCTCATCCTGTAATTAAGAATGACGATGAGAAAGGTTTACCCCAAGATATTCCGTTTACCTCTTTGAGCATTTCATAGAATGACCCAAAAAAGTCCTGTCGATCAACATGCCTTGGTGCCACACATAATGTGTCAATATCAGCGCCTGAACAAATATGCGAGTGAAAAAAAAACACAGATTAAGCAATGTGAAACATGCACTCAAAAGCCGCTTAAAATTTCTTCTGAAAAAAGGTAGAATATACATAGATATAATCTTCAGAACCCTTCTTTCACGCCTGACTCAGCAACCACACTCTAGCAGATCGTAATTAATGCACGATCACAAGCAAGAAAAATCAAGACCTACCTCTGGTATGTACACCTAATCGATAAGATCCAAATGTGAACAATTTTCCACCAACATTTTCACACATTTCAGGAGGAAGCTGAACATCAGAAAATAGAAGTGAACGAAATAAGTCACCTTACACTCACCTTCGACTCTGAAACCTTGCGCACCCACGTTTTTACGAGCGAATTCAATTTCCGAAGCACTTCTATTCTAGCATGCATTTCTTCGTCAGTTTCAAATAAATTGAAGCTTTTAAGGCACTCCACCAGCTGAAACGTTCAAATAATGGACATGACATGAAGTGAAGAGAAAACCACGCAAGTAAGAAACGAATAACTGTGATAAACGAATCAGGTGACATACACGTCAAAAAAGTCGAACTAGATCAGAAAAAAAATCACCTGTTCTGTGAGCCTAAGATCACGCGCATCCGGCAACGCTTTAGATATTGGTTGACTAACACCCAGACAGGGAGTTTCACGGGCCTCCCCAAGCCCGTTTTCTTTGCTCATCCCTATAAACACTGCATTGGGAGAAACGAAGCCAAAAACGCAACAAACGGATTCAAATCAATTTATTGCACCAAACATTCACAAAGTAAGCGCTGTATGCACTTATGAAACTTGAATCATTGAAAAGAGGACAGAGGGAATTCAAGCATTTATACAGATCAACACATCTACCAAAACGGCGTGAACAAAAATAAGGCTTGCGTTGTATGTAAGAGAACGATGAGACGTGTGTAACCTATGACATAACAAGGTTGCTAAGCAACCAGAAAATATTTGCATTCTCGAAAAAATAGAAGACTGATAATGAGCTGACTAAAACACGAAACTCTGAGCAAGAAAGATACATTCCATGTTCATCTTACTGAAATGAAGGCATACCAACGACATTCGGCAGCAATCAAGCATGGGACGATACAGTTCTTGGCGTGATTTAATATACACAGCATACACGCAAGTTAAAATATTCCAAAGTGGAAAATTTCGAAGAAGGGCTAGCGGTAAACTTGCCAACACTGAAACCCGGCTTCTACAAGCTGAAAAAAATGGAGCATGTGTTTGTGACATAGATGCCGTGCTTACGACTTCCACACAAAGTGCGCGTCTCGCAGAAATCCTCTTCATAGGCAGCTTCTAGCTTGGCATTTCTGGCGACAGGCTATAAATAGCTTCTTAGAGTATAAATAATTTATAGTATCACCGGCTTTCAGATCGTGGGGAGATGGAGTCGTGCCAACTTAAAGGCAGTGTCCGGGCAAAAAGTCGATTTCGAGATTTTGTGCTCACCCGGGCGTATTCGCTACGCTGAATCCGAAAATCCACACTGGAAAGCGCGAAAACGGCGAAAAAGGGCCCCAACGCAGAAGGGAAATCAAAAGTGGGCGGGGTCTTCCCCAGGGTGAATTCACGGTCCCAGCTCCCGGAGCGATCTTTTCAGTTCCAGTAACCGCCCTGACATCTCAACGGACCAAGTGCGAATGCATGATCTGAAGTCGGAAGCGAAAAGATCGCTCCGGGAGCTGGGACCGTGAATTTACCCTGGGGAAGACCACGCCCACTTTCGATTTCCCTTCTGCGTTGGGGCCCTTTTTCGCCGTTTTCGCGCTTTCCAGTGTGGATTTTCGGATTCAGCGTAGCGAATAGGCCCGGGTAAGCACAAAATCTCAAAATCGAGTTTTTGCCCGGACACTGCCTTTAAAGCGTGAAGGTTTTCGATAGAGAGAGCTACGGAAAGCAATGCTGTAACGTGGAGATTTAACAAGTTTATCCTTTATAATGAGGGAAAGTCCGCAACCCTCCTACCTCCCCCCCCCCCCCTCCACACGAATATGGGAGCCGATAATAGGTACTATAGTACTATACTAGTGTCAAGTCTCACGTGTTAGCTAAGCTTGGGACTTGATTCCTCTGCCCTGTTGTATTACATCTTAACAGAATAATTCTTGATCACAAACGAAGGCGGCTGTCCTTATAAGCCAGCGTACAACTCCTCAGAATTTTAATCTGAACTTCCGCAGCACAAATAAAATTCTACTCGATGGTAACATGCACGTCATGCTCTCCGGGTCAGGAGAACGCGGAAATTTCTTCGTGAGAGCACTGCGTACATTAGACGGCTTAGCAGTTTTCCATGGTTTTGGTGCGGGAGGCTCTCGTAGCAAATTACGCAGTTGAACGCATGTAACCTTCTATTCGACACACGTACAGTCTTTTTCAGCCCGGAGTAGGCGAAATATTCCAAGCAAAGCAGCGCGTACGCACCGCCACTGGCTCAGCGAGATAAGCCAGAATGAAGAGGCGCAGAGTGCAAAGGGGCACAAATCGTTGCGAAGCGGTCTCCCGCCAGTCCAATTTCCGCCTATCGAGCGGGAACTTACTGTACTTAAATCTACACATGGCTGCGCAAAGCGCGCCCCATGCCCCAATGCGAATTTCTCCGGTGCGCAGGGTTTTCACGTGGGGCATGCTAAACAGTGTGGACTTTGTTTTTGACCAACGTAATTTGAAAGCTGTCAAAAGTTTTTCGAGGTTGTCTTCCACAAATCAATGTCATAGATGTAAGGTGGAGTAAAACTCCGTATGAGTACTTCCTCAATATACCGGAAACTTTCTATAGCATAGGAAGGCATCTAAAGTTTACTTCTTCTTATAAAGTGAAGGAGCGATTAATCGCCTTGTGTATTCATTAAGGTTTGTCTATTTGAAGTTAGTACTACTGAAATCTATCCTTTGAAATGCAAGCAAGTGTTTCGAAGTCTGAGTCTATCTCTCCTTAAGTTGCCAAACTCAGGACTTTTATTATTGCTCGGTGCCAATGTTGGCTTCTGTCAAAAGCTGAGGAGAATTCTTCTAATTTGTTCAACTTTACGAAGCTTTTGTATTCGACTGATGTTTGGAACTTGCATTGCAACATTTCCAAAAGTTCCATTTATCTGGGGATAAAGTCTGAATTGAGAGACTCTGGATAGATGCCTGTTCTTCATGAGTGTATCGCGCTATCCAACTGCTAACCGCACTTTCCAAGGACTAGGAACGTAAAGCCTGATGTGGATGGTCATGATAAGTCATCAAAGCAAAAATCTACACGGCAAAACATAGCAATGCATGCTTACAACGTTGATCTTGGTACGAACAGCTACGTATTGATGGATCAGGGAGCAAAGGAGCAGCTTCTTCTTCTTCTTCTTTATCTTCGCCATTGTCCCGCGGGTGCAGGGTCGGCGGTGGTGCATTTTTGCTTCCATTTGACTCGATCAGCTGCTTCTTGTGGTTTGAGCTTTGCAATGTGCAGGTCGTTTCGAATGGTATCCAACCAGTGTTGCTTCGGACGGCCACGCGGTCGCTTCCCCTGTGGATCTAAACGAAGTGCTGTTTTTGCTACTGTATCATCTTCACTTCGTAAAACGTGACCATACCATCGTAATCTAGCACCTCGCATCTTATCCGCGATAGGTGCAATTCCGAAAATGTGTCGTACATCATCGCTCGTGACGCAGTTTCTTCTCGTTAGGCCAAGTATCCATCTTATCATTCGCGTCTCCATCGTGCTCAGGATCTGCTCGTGTTTTCTTGCTGGCCAACATTCGGCTCCATACAGTGCGACTGGCCTCACCACAGTCCGATACACTTTCGACTTGAGATACAACGGGATTCGTCGGTCGCAGAGTACTCCTGTTACTTGCCGCCATTTTAGCCACGCCGCGTTCGTCCTAGCACGAGCATCAGCGATCGTGTCGAAATCCGACGTCACTTGGGAGGCCAAGTATTTGAATATCGTGACCTTCTTCAGCGGCTGCCCATCGATGCTAATTGTGCCCTCGGTTTGCTCTCCGCATTCCAGGTACTCGGTCTTTGCTACGTTCAGTCGTAGGCCATATTCCGCTAATCGTGTCTTCCATCTCACAGTCGCCTCTTCAAGCTCTTGTCTCGATCCGCTTGCTAGCTCGACGTCGTCTGCGTAAAGGAGCGTCCACGGATGCGGCAGCTGTATGTCCTTGGTCACCGTGTCCATGCACAGTATAAAGAGAAGCGGTGATAGAGCCGATCGTTGGTGTACTCCGACTTGGATTGGGAATGGCGTTGACGTTCCCACTGCACAGCGTATGGCGCCCGTCGTGTTCGTAAAGAGGAGTTTGATCCAGCGAACATACTCTTCTGGAACGTCGTGTTGTCTCAGCGCATACCAGATCAGCCCGTGTGGTATCCGATCAAATGCTTTTTCTAAATCCAGAAATGCGAAATGAATCGGAATCCGTTCCTCCAAATGCCTTTCCATTAGCAATCGTACTGCGTGGATGGCGTTGATGGTGCCAGATCCTTTTACAAAGCCGCACTGATTCGGGGTGACCTCCACTATACTTCGAATGCGTGCGTCGATGACTCGTTCGAAGATCTTCATCGTGTGGCCTAGCAAGCGTATTGGTCGATATGTTGAACAGTCGCTGACGTCTCCCTTTTCCTTCCAGATAGGGACTGTAACACTCGTAGTCCAGATTCGCGGCAACTGTTAGTCGACGATAATGCGGTTAAAGAGCGATGTGATATATGCCGCTCCACGCTGCCCCATCATCTTCCACACTTCAGCAGGTATGTCGTCGGGTCCCGGAGCTTTTCCGCTAGATATCTTCCTCAGTGCCTGCACAACTTCTGCCTCCTCGATCCGAGATACCGGTCCAAATGTGGGGGCTCCTTGCGGTACTAACGGGTGCGGGAACTCCTCATTAAATAGCCCTTTGTAGTATTCGTTCCACCGCTTGAGTATTGCCCTCGGCTTCGTCAGGAGGTTGCCCTCTGCGTCCTTGATGTGCATGACGTGGTCGATGTCCTGCTTCGCTCGATGTCGTGCAGCGGCCAGTCGGTAGACCTTGTTAGCTCCAGCAGGTCCTTCCAGCTCGTCGCAAAGTCTCTTGTAGTGTGCTTCCTTTGCTTCGGCTACCGCGTGCTTCGCCTTCGAGTTCTGTTCTCGATATCGACGGAGGTCCTCGTTTGAGTGTGAGCGCTGCCAGGCTTTGAAGGCTTCTTTCTTCTCCTTGATCACTTGCTGGACTGACTCAGACCACCACCAGGTCTGCTTGTCTACAAACCGGCGTCCAGGCTTGGTGGTTCCCAAGATTGTTTCGGCCCTCGATCGTATCTGCGAAGTGATCCGATTCCACCGCTCTTCAATCGACTCCTTATCATCCGTCGACACCCTCAAATCGTTGAAAGCATCTCTGACTTGCTGGCGATGTTCGGGAAGCTTCCACCATTTGATCCTCTTTGTGGTCGTCCTTCTGGCTCGTAAATGTAAGTAGATGTTCAGTCGAAGATCCAATACGAGCAACCGGTGTTGTGGCGCAAATGCAGGTGTCGCCGTGGGTATAACCTTCGCGTTCATCACCATCGGCAAATGGCATCGGCGTAGCATCCAGTAGTCGATCTGAGTTGAGCGGTCTCCACTCGCGTACGTGATTAAATGTGACTCCCGCTTTTTGAAAAGTGTATTCGCTATCGCCAAGTCGTGTGCTTCTGCGGCT